CTACCGAATCATCAAAAATAACATTCAAATGTGGTCGTTGCAGAAGAATTGGTCATAATAGAACATCTTGTATATATTCTTCGGCAGTCCATCCATTTTCAAGGAAGCATAGAGAATAATAGATATATCCACTTATGTTTATCTACTCTTTTAAGTTTTTGCTATAAATTGGATTCATTTATATTATTTTTATTTGAGCAAGTAAACATTCGCAGATGGTTATATAAAAGATGTCCTGAATTTTCAAAGTTTCTTTGCACTTACTTGCTCTTTGTTTTTTTTTCTTTTTCTTGGAGTTCAATTTACCTTTGTCGGACCAATTATTGTTTATGGGATTTTATTCTTGCCGTAAGTAAACAAGAAAGTCCTTTTCTTTATATAATTTGACGCCTGCAACTTGCTACATCTTTATTTTTAAAATGAGATTGGTACAAGTAAAACTTAAGGACATAATCTTTTACAAGTCCTGAAAATTTCAAGTATGAATCTAATATTAAGGACATAAATTTCTAAAATGTCCTTAACTTCTGGAAATCTCAGATTATTATCTAGATTTCCAGAAGTTCAGGACATTTCAGAAAAATATGTCCTGAATATTATTTTCATCCTTCAACAAATCAGGACGTTTATGAACATAATGTCCTAAAGTTCTACAACAATCAATGTATCTTTTGCTATATCTCTACATATTTAATAAAAAAGCTGGCAATTTAAAATAGACAAATCAATAGTTATAAAACTTGACATCTGCAACTTGCTAAACACAGCTTGCTACATCTTATTTTTAAAATGAGATTGGTACAAGTAGACTTCAGGACATAATTTTTTGAAACGTCCCGAACATTTAAAGTATGAATCTAATATATAGGACATAAATTTCTAAAATGTTCTTAACTTATGAAAATCTCACTTTATTGTCTATATTCCAGAAGTTTAGCACATTTTAAAAAATATGTCTTGAATATTATTTTCATCCTTCAACAAATAAGGATGTAGTTAATAGATTCTGAAGTTTTACAACAATCAATGTATGTTGCTTTGAATTTCTAAAAACTTCAAGACAATTTAATCAAAGATTGGCCCTTTAAAACTGTGAAAAAATGGACAAATCAATAGTTAACAGAAAGAAAGAAATTAATAACGCGATGCCTTCATATTACTGCTGAAACTGTAATTTAGCATAGCTGTGACCAAAAAATTATGCTATGCAAACAAAATAAAGTGCCTTGTGACAATTTACAGGATATTTCAGAATTCATATGGATTCTTTACAGCAATTTTATACCAATTTCACTACAGCTGACTTTCTTTACAACTACACTACAGCTCCTTTAGGCAGGAAGTTTCATTTTCACTATCATAGTCGTCGCCGACATTTTCTGGTGGTGTATCATAACCAGAATTTCTTTTTCACTCTCCATGTGTCCAAAGATTTGCTGCAAGTGCTTTTCTGAAGTTTGATATGTCCTCAGGTTGGAATTTCTCCACATCCTTTCCCATCATCAACA